TGCTAGTTCTATTAAAGAAACGACATCTTTGCTAATGGATGGATTAGAATACGTTTAGTTAAACGTATTCTTTTTACAAAATTGGATGTTTTTATTTTTTTTTGTCAAATAAATTATATTTTATTATTTGCTTAATAAACGGTATTAAATTCGTGCTTTTTTCTTTGAAACACGATAAATCGAATATTTAATATATATTGTATCGATTTTTATTACACAAATTTCATGCCCCTACCTCCCACACTTCATATTACACATTTATGTGATCGTACTGATATAAATATACGAGTATACATAAAATTTTTACTTACAAATCATATCTTTAAAGATCAGATAAATCAAAACTATCTATTGGCTTGTTAATAATGGTTTTGATCTCTTGTGTGTTGATGAGCTTGCTAGTATACATATGAGATGGATGTTTCAGTTCGATCGGTTTCGGTTTGATCTTATCAGCATCCATGAATTGTTTTTTGATATCGTTCTCGTCATCTTGGTCCATCTCGTCGAGCCAATGACCAATTTTGTAGTTTAAGGTAGCTACTGTAGGTCGTTTTTTAGGATCAGAATCCATGCATCGTTTGGCCAATTTAATGTAACAATCAGGTGTCCCAGTAGCGATTTCTGGTCGTAATCCATTCTGAATGATCTTTAAAGTAAGTTTAGTACTAAATTCGTGACCATCAAAAGCCTTTCGTCCAGATGATATTTCGGTCATGATGATTCCTAACCCATAGATATCTGATGCCTGGGTAAACCTTCCATCTCTTAAAACTTCAGGGGCAACATAAGGAAAAACACCAAAAATTTCATCTGTTTCTTCATTTGATGTAAGTCCTAGATCTGTGACAAAAGCGCTATGAAAATCATTTTGCAAGACGTTTCCGCTATGAAAATCTTTATGAGTAAGTTCTTGAGAATGAATCGATTCAAGATCAGAAACGATGCAATGCAACAAATTTAATTTGTTTTTCCAATTCATTTGTACCACTTCTTGAAGATTTTGATTTAAAGATCCCTTATTCGCGTAATCCAAAACAATAATATAATCACCAGAATTTTCGTCTCTTGACACACCATAACATCTTAAAAATGATGGATTTTCGTATCCTATTTCAACATACCTTTTTAACTATTATTCAATTAGTTTTTTTTTTTTTTTTTAATATAATAAATAAAATATAAATGTTACCTCATGAACAAATTTTTGGATAGATTTATTCGAATCATAAATTAGTTTAAGCGCAACATCTGTCCAATAGTATCTGTTTTTATCAAACCAATCTGCGCAATATACAGTTGCGAATCCACCCTTTCCTATATTTCTAATATTTTTAAATTCCTTATAAGGAATCCATGACAGCTGATATTTTTCATCGCATAATATTTTTTTTAAATTACAATCAATATCTTCTGATGAATCAATATCTTTTAATGTTTTATCTATTTTTATCATGCTTTTTGCCATTCGAAACCAATGATTAGCTCGTTGTATATCTCTTGGTACGCCGGTTCCATTCCGATAACAATTAGCAATATTAATTATCGCTCCTGTATTTCCCATTTTAAAAGCTTTCATGAAGCATTCAAAAGCCTTTTCTTCATTTTTCTCAATTCCTCCTAATCCTTTTAAATAATATAAGCCCATAAAATCTAGTCCGCCAGCGTCATTCATATTAGCAATTTGTGAAACATACTCAAATGCTTTTTTTTCATCCTTTTCAACTCCTATTCCACGAAAATAACAAAGACCGAGACTGTATATTGCAGCATCATGACCCATTTCGGCAGATTTTTGATAATAAATGAATGCTTTATGTTCATCCTTTTCAATTCCAATTCCTTCTTCATAACAAGATCCAACTTTTAATGTTCCTTGTGCATCTCCCATTTCGGCAGATTTTTGATAATAAATGAATGCTTTATGATCATCCTTTTCAACTCCAATTCCTTCATTATAACAATATCCAATACTATATGTTCCATTAACGTCCCCCATTTCATCGGATTTTTGATAATAAATGAATGCCTTATTTTCATCCTTTTCAACTCCAATTCCTTCTTCATAACAAGATCCAACTTTAAATGTTCCTTGTGCATCTCCCATTTCGGCAGATTTTTGATAATAAATGAATGTTTTATGATCATCCTTTTTAACTCCAATTCCATTTTGATAACAATATCCAACCATATATGTTCCATTAGCGTTCCCCATCTCTGCAGATTTTTGATAATAAATGAATGCTTTATGATCATCCTTTTTAACTCCAATTCCATTTTGATAACAATATCCAATATTATATGTTCCATTAACGTCCCCCATTTCATCGGATTTTTGATAATAAATGAATGCCTTGTTTTCATCCTTTTCAACTCCAATTCCATTTTGATAACAATATCCAACATTAAATGCCCCTTGAGCATTACCCATTTCAGCAGATTTTTGATAATAAATGAATGCTTTATGATCATCCTTTTCAACTCCAATTCCATATTGATAATTATATCCGAGATTATAAAGCTCAGACGGATTTTTTTGGTCCATTTTTTTTAAAAAGCATAAAGTTGAAAACCGAGTGATTCATATGTAAGACAAAAACATGATTCATAATATTTTTATTTTCGTGATTTATTATTGTCGGACATGAAGTTATGGAAATAATTTCTTTTTTTGTTTAGAAATGCGTAATTTTGGCAACCCGCTTTGCGGTGCAATGGTTATGTGCGTACGAAAATATAAATTTAACTAATACCATAATAGTGCACAACATTGTATCTGTGAGACAAATAATAAATAAGATAGCTGCGCAACGCAGTTGCGCTAAAACCAGGAACGAAATAAGTTCTGATAAATTGTTTACTCGAATAAGTTAGGTTTTTATTACATAACTATAGCAGTTTAATAGATAACAGAAAGTAATTCAAGCTTTAATATTAGTGAGAAACTGAAAACATCGGAGCAAGTTGTGACGTAACTAAGTTATAACTTATTTTGACTTTTTTGTTTTAAATTACGGCACATTGTAACATGCGTATATGCAGATTGTCGTAACATATCGTGCCATATATCGTAACTCAACTTTTTATATGCCATAAACTAATATAACTTTACTTAGTACATAATTTTTGTATACATAACTATCGCTTATACAAATATATACGTGACTAGCTATATATCAATACATTAGATTGCGAAGATATTTCCTTTATTTTGCGATGTTTTTTATGGACTTTACCTCCATTGCTAGATTATTTTGTAATTTCTTATGGTTTTTTTGTGTGCCCAATTACAGTCAAACCTCCTAAGTGCAATTCGTAGGGACCAGCCTTTTGATAGCTTGCGTTTAGGGAACAATAAGAAAAATTGTTTTTATGGAAGTCTAGTATATATCTGGGCGAGAGTTAAAAGTTGCATTTAAAGGGGCGATGCATTTAAGGGGTTGCATTTAGAGTGGTCCGACTGTAAACTAGTTTATGATGCCTATCTCCCAAATAATTACCGCCACAACGCTTCTTTTTGGGTAAATCATTACTTTAAATCGAAGCATTAATTACATATAATTATACGTAGTTAAATCAAAATTAAACTTTTGTTAAAATTATTAAATTATGCAACTAATACAAAAGTTACATAACTAACTAAAGTTACGCATCTGAATAGTATTACGACAAAATGAGATCATATGGATTGATTTTGCCATAACCGTAACTGTATGCCGTAAAATTTATTGGGACAATTCTACCGCATCACTACTTAATATAAATACTTATTAATAAAATTTTTAACGATAGTTTTTTCATTTAAACTTTTGTCATGATGCTAATGCTAAGTCCGATAAACAAAATGTGGCATGAAAATATAATAGCAAATCAAACTTCTAAAGTAGACAGATGTATGTTGTACATGGTCCAGTTAGTCGTTTTTAACGCAGACGAACATATGTACATGCGTAGGACTTTAATTGTAAAGGTTAATACAATACCTTTTCTCAACCTTACATTGTTCTACCTTAATCTATCGATGCATCTTTCTCAATCTTTCATTGACACTTCCAAATCTTATAACATGCTTCTTCTCGACCTTTTATTGCAGTACTTCAATAACATAACATCACGGAATAACAGAATTACAGCAATGGCCGTAATGTAGGCCTTACAATTTACTGTTTTTACAGCAGATAATATGGTAAGTACGTACCATAACTGAATTATGCATATACTATGTAATGCACTATCAAAACAAAACTGGAAATTCACAAGACAATTCTAAAAATGCTTATAAAAATAGAAAGGCTCACTAAGCCATTAAAGTTTTGCCACCTTTTAGTCACATGGTAGTGCTTTAAATGGTTCTCTTGATTCAATCTGCAAACCCGAAATTATCCGTGTTTACACATTTAGAAATCATAGCCATCTAGGTCGGAAGAGCAATATGCACACATGCGCAATTTAGCCCTGATGGTTAACGGGTGATGAATACATAATAAATGCTTATAGAGGGTATTAGTAAAGGACTTAAAGACATCTCGTTATCCTCCCTCCTTATTAAGGTCTCAAAGCCTTCCTTAAATACATGATATCGGGTGAATCTTTATGCATTTACATTCGTACTAGCAGATCTTGAATGAATGCTCTTTCATACTAAATCAATTACAACATATATTATCACCTACTAATGTACATCATAACACCAACTGTGACACCCAACCAAATGCAAGAGTTTGAGAACATGTTGGTAAACCATGCTCTCCGTTTTCACTTATGGAAAATTCCGTTCTGTATGTCCCACGTTACGCACGTATGTACGTACGACGATTCTAAAATTTTTAAGTCATCTCTAGTGAAAATTTAGCATAATTCATTCTTTAATCTTTTCAGAATGGTAAACTTACCAAATGAATGCCTTGAGGAAATATTTAATTACTTTAAAAATTATCCTAGACATTTATTTTCATGTCTTCTTGTAAACCGTCAATGGTGTAGAATTATTGTTTCAATATTATGGAGTGAACCATTAAAGCACTGTGAAGATAGAGAACTTATAAGAGTATACCTTTTGTCATTAAATACTGATGAAATGGCACTATTAATTCCACTGAATATATCACTTCCTAATAATCTGAAGCTATTATTTGAATATACATCTTATACTACTTATATCAATTGTCAAAATTTAAAAAAAGGAATCATGAATTATTTCTACCGTGAGGAATATTGTGATGGTAAATATTATTATACAATACTTGAAAAATACGGTGACGTAGTTAAAATAGTCGAATATTCTTTAAT